AGACAAAAACACATGAACTGTAGCAGGGAGCAAAGACTGGACAATTCTGAAGGAAAACACAAAGGTCAAATAACTAAAGTATAACTGAAATAAAAGGTGTAAGAAAGAGGTCAACATAAATGGCAAAAATGACCTTGATATATCAGTTTCATTAACCTCATTTCCCCTTTTTGTAACAAACTCAATGACTACTTGTATACCACCTTCTGTTGAGGGGTTAACTCTATCACATATAGCTACAAAACGACCGTTAAGTGTAGCCACCACTGTTTTATCAAATTACCTAGAAAAAGATTAATAATCAACACTCAAAATAGCCAAATCCCGACTAAATTTCATATGAAAACTAAACAAATACCAAGCCAAAATCACTAAGATTAAACAATAACAACACTTTTGGGGTCGTTGCTTTTGTCTATTAACAAATATCAATCAGTTACCTATAGATGCAAAGACATTAGAATTGAAAGAATGATATGTTGCTCTGGTTTCTATAAAAAAAACATGAAAAACAGTTAAAAAAATATATGCATTAAAAAAATGCATATAAACTGCAAATTAAGTTCAATCTTTTACTTTTAAACACAAGTTCATTAGAATACAAATTGTGATTCTCAGTCAGTTGCTTCTATTACAGGATGCAATGTTCCTCTTTCTGTAAATCAATATTTGCCAATTAAGTAGAATCGATATTTTCAAAAAGAAACTAAATAATTGAACGATTTCCAATTGAATCAATTGCTGTTTCAAACCTTTACTAGTCGTTTCAGTTGAATTGATCGTTGTTAGCTAGTTCGCTAGTTCGCTCCAATTATTTGAGTTCGCCCTGGAACTTATATATATATATATATAGATATATATATATTATATATATATATTATATATATTATATATATATATATATATATATATATATATATTATATATATATATGTGTGTGTGTGTGTGTGTGTGTGTGTGTGTGTGTGTGTGTGTGAAAATGACTTGCGAGGGTAATTGCCTTTTTGTTTTGTTCATATTTAGGTAACTTCATTTTTTTGTACACATTTGACCATTTAACTTGTTAAATGTGTTCACATATTACCATTGTCACCTATTATAGCAGGTGACAATGGTAATATGTTGACACATTTAACAAGTTAAATGGTCAAATGTGTACAAAAAAAGAAAGTTGTCTAAATGTGAACAATTTTTTTTATAAATTTCTTAAGAATTTTTATAATTTCTTACAACATTTTTATGATATTTTTTCCTTATAGGGTTTTCAAATACAATGTTTTAAACTTTGCTTATATTTTTTTAAATTTTTTTTATACTTTCATATAATTTTAATACAAGTACTTTTAAACCAAATATTTTATAAATGTTTTAAAATTTTCTTACAAGTTTTTAATTTTTTTAATACATTTTCATACAATTTTTTTATAACTTTCATACATTTATTTCTAAACTTTATTTTACAACATTTTTAAAGTGTTTTACAGATTTTGTATAACAATAGAATATTTTTTATAACACTTTAAAATAATTTCGTTAAATACTAGTCTAAACATTGTATTAAAACAATTAAAAGTTTATAAACTTCTAATTAAAAAGTATTAAAAAGTTGGAATAATTTAAAAACATTTATATTATGTAGATTTTTTTTGTTTTTTTATCTGCTAATTAATATTTTCTTTTTATTTTTTTAGAAGACCCTTCATACTTATTGTTATATATTTAATTGATTTAATATTATTGTTAGATACTATTTACTTTAAAAATATTGTATATGCTTAAAAACAAAAGAAAAAAAATATAAGAGGCTATATAAAATATTTCAAAAAACAAAACATATTTATTAATTAAAAAAAAGTTTAAAATTGATCAATATTTAGGAAATTATAGATATTTTAAAAATAACATTTGAAAAAATAATACAAACAAATATGAAAAATAAAATCGCTATTAAAAATGGGGAAAATGATTTATCAGGGTAATTATCTTTTGGTTTTGTTCACATTTAAACAGCTTTCTTTTTTTGCAACATTTAACCATTTAATTTGTTTAATTTGTTCACATATTACCAATTTAATTTGTTATAGTCAGTGACAATGACAATATGCGAACACATATAACAAGTTAAATTGTCAAATAAATACATAAATAAAGAAGTTACCTAAATATGAACAAAACGATAAAGATGATTACTCTGATAAGTCATTTCACACACACACACACACACATATATATATATATATATATATATATATATAATATATATTATATATATATATATAGGCTTTAGGTTATTATATTCAAAGTAATTATTGTGTTATTGTATGCATAAATGTGGGCCAATCAATTTTACTTATTTTAAGAAAGTGATTAATGCATATTATTGAATTAAATATAATTGAAAAATATCATCTAATTTAATTACAATGGTATTTTAGTCAATTAATATACATTTAATAAAGGAAAATTGCATATTTTAAGGGATCATAGATTCTATTAAATTTAAAAATCCGATTTTACGAATTATAATTCTTTTAATTCGGACATTCTGACAGAATATGTTTATGAGTATATATTCAAAAATAAAAATATTCTTGAACCATAAATAATAAAAATATTCTTGAACCTATTTCTTGATCATTACTTTAAAAACTTCTTGTAGAATAACAAATTCTTGAACAATAAATTGAAGAATAAAAACAAAAAATACATTATGTCTTATAGAATACAGGTAACAATTGTTAAGAATTACATTCTAAAAGAATAATGTTAAAGAATAAAACTAAAAAAACTTTCAAAACGGGAAATAAAACATCAAAATCTAACAACGACACTAATACATTCTAAAAGAATAATGTTGCTTAGAATCACTTTGAATTTTGTGGTCCGTTCTTCAAGCATCAACTTCTGTGAAAACAAAACCAAATTGTAGTTTAGATTCCAATAATGCATTAGCAAATGAAAAATAAAAAACTAAATTCCTTTGGAAAAATACGTGGACTTGTGAATTGCACCAAAACCAATAACCAATAATTGTAGAACATGCATAAATCAGTGAGAAAATATTCATACTCCATTCCAACAGAATTAGAATTCATGAATTCCATTCAACAGAATTGGAATTCGTGATTCCATTCCAAAAGAATTGGAATCGCACCAATATCATCCATTGAATCATCTACAGAAACAAATTGATTTTTATCATATAAGAAGAAGTAAATTTGATATGAAAATAGTGACAAACTACCTTCACTTTGTACTTTACATATAAGAAGAAGGTCATTGACACAACCTCTTTTACACTATACCTATTTGCAAACTACAGTTACACTTACAGATCGCCACTGGCTTAAACCCTCCCTAAACCTCTACACAAATAAACACCCTAGAAATCAAGACGGTACAATTTATGTTAAAAAAAGTCTCATTTACATTGAATCGATTAGAATAATCAATTCACGCACACAGATATAAGCATATACCTGAATTTTGAGTGATAGAAGAATCAGCATAGAAAACAGACAGGGAAGGCGGGAGCGGAGTAACGATGAAGCCAGGACCACCGCCACCGATGAGAGGAAGCAAACGATGATGATTTTGAATTTGAGGAAACGCTTCCTCCACCGATTGCTGTCATTGCCGGCAGACTCCTCACTTTGTAGAATTGTTGAACAGAAGGGGATTTTCAAGCGTATCCCGACCATTTTCCTCATCTGCTCCTAATTACTCATGTCTTCAACGAACGCCTTCTCTCTTTCTCTGGATCGAGATCCTCTGGTGTATCGGCAATAGAGAAATTGAGGCTGATATAGGTTGTGGCGGTGGGTAGAGCATCGCCGGTTGATAGTGATGCTCCGATGGCTGGGGGCTGTCGGATGTGCCCTTTAACCTCGACAGTAATGGTGTTGGGGTCGAATAGGTGATGGTTTTAAAAAGCTGACGATGGATGGGGAAAACCTAGGTAGCTGAAGTCAATGGTTACCATAATTATAGGATAGGATTTGTGGAAACTAATTATCAATTTACCTATTACCCTTATATATTTAGGTAATTAGTTATTTTTATTTTAAATTTTGAGTTGACCCACATTTATGCATTACAATAACACAAGAATGGACTTTGAATAGCGACTAGCGCTCTCTCTCTCGCGCTCTCTCGTAGATATAGATAGTATATAGATATATAGAGATATATATCACAACGATTATATATATATTATAGAGATATACAATATATATAGATATGGCTATAGATAAATATATATATAAGATATATATATATATATACACCACAAATATATACATATAGATATATATATATATTATACTATATATATATATAACATATATATATATATATATATATATATATATACACACACCATATATATATATATATACATATATTATATATATATATATAGGAGTAGGATCAATGAGAACACCAAAAAGGTTTGAGAACGCGGGAGAGAAAGATCTGAGCTCTTCAAATATTACGATCTAAGGCTAATATACTTTATAAAAAGTCATGAGATGAATTATAAATTCTAAAAGTATATATATATATATATATATATATATATATAATATATATAATATATATATATATATATAGGAGTAGGATCAAATGAGAACACCAAAAAGGTTGAGAACGCGAGAACAAATATGAGCTCTTCAAATATTATGATCTAAGGCTAATATAATTTATAAAAGTCATGAGATGAAATTATAAATTTCTAAAAGTCATGGGATGAGATTGTAAATTTTTAATAGTCTAGAGGGTAATATGGTCATTACATGTTAACCTATTTTTGTAAGTTGCTGGAATCTCTCTTTGCCCCTCTCTCTCTCTCACTCACGTATCCTTCTTCATGTCACTCTCTAAATACTAATTTCAAACCTTTAAACCCTAATTGAGCCGTCACCACCATACACCATATCGGAACTGAAAAAGTTAGGTCCGAAGGAGATCTAGGGGTACGATGGGTCGGAGAAAAGTTGGAGATGAAGCGAATTGAAGACAAGAATAGCAGACAAGTGACATTTTCTAAGCAGAGATCAGGGTTAAACAAGAAAGCGCAACAACTTTCCGTTCTCTGCGATGCTACTGTCGTCGTCGTCTTCTCCTCCAATAGCAAGCTTTATGAATACGGTAGTCCAGCTATTAAAGCTCATAAGGCTAACAAAAGAAAGAACACGGGTTGTGCACAGAAGGTGTCTAATGACATACTTAAAAAACATGTAATTTCAATTTCGACTTTGTTTCTTTAATTCCATTTCTCCATCTCAAAATGTTTCTTCTCTATTCACAATTCACTGAATTGGATGATTGAGCGCAGGAGAGATGGATCTAACATACGTGTTTTAAAAAAAACTAAAAAAGGGAGATGAACTATGCACATAAGGTGCTCGATAAAATGTCTGTGAGAAGAGCATTTTCAAATTGCAAAATTATTACATGATAATACATTAACACCAAAGGCAGGTATCACTAAGGAGTCCATCTGCGCTTTATGAATACGGTAGCAGCAATACGAACAGGTCAACCATCGTTTTGTATTATATTCAATTATCATATTCTTTACCCTTTCTACTGCTGTCATGTACGAAGCAATAGTCTTTAGCAATAGACTATGCGATATATCTGCAATCAGAATGAGGATTTCTAGGGCATAATTAATCGGAATGAAGATGTACTTGATTACTGTCTTATCTGAATATGTGGGGAGTTCGGATAATTGAGATGTATCTTTACTTCTTTAGTCTATTTCATTCATCCTAGTCACAATCAGTCTTTTTGCGAGAGATTTTGACTTGGATTCACTGTATTCATTTTTTATTGTTGCATTATTTTTATTAAATGTTAAGTATTTGGATACACTGTATTCATTTTTTATTGTTGTAAAATTGATTTTCAACTTTCAGTTTTTTTATTTTTATAAAATTTTATTCATTAATGATAATCTATTTTTCTGTTTATTACATTTTGATTTAATAAAGCAATTTAGAAAACAAATTGGTTAATGAGTTAAGCACTTTGTTGACAAATAATACAAAAAAAGTTCTTTGATTTCTTGTAGATTGACCAAGTTAATACGGAAGGGCTAAAGGATTATAAGGATGAATGATGAATGTACATGGACAACAACTTGGAAGGAGCCGGAATTTATTTATATTAAGACATTGTAATTTTTCCTTTGTGATTATAATTGTATTCATATATGATTGTAAATGTGTTTTGTTTATTTATTTTTTGTAAATTTGATGTTTTATCTCTAATTTGTGTTATATTCATTTAAGATCACAATGTATTGATTTTTTTTATATAATGTTCGTTGTTCAATTACAATTATATTTGTATTCATTAAAAAAATATAATATTTTATATTTATGAATGAAAATGTGCATGTATATATGAATACATGGTCTCAAAGTGATTTTAATCGTTAAGTACAATTGTGTCAATATAAATGTATAAAGTCAAATTATAATATAATCAATTATGATTGATAGTTTATTTTTTTATTCATTTACGATTGGCGTATAATTTACGTGAAATCCGATTAATAAGAAAAATAAAAAATAGAATATTTCTATGTTTTTTTGGTAACCGATCCTAAATTTAACGAAATTTGATTGAATTTTGTTTTATTTTAATTTAATTAAAATATACAATTACTAATATGCCATTATATATTGATTGGTCAAGAACTGTTATCGCGTTCTTGTTCTCATTTGATCCTTACCCTATATTATATATATATATATATATATATATATATATAGGGTGAGGTTCAATAGAGAGTCATAATTAACCAAGGAACCAATCGTGACCGTTGGAAATCATAACGATCAACGGCCAAGGAAATAGATGTACACTTTTACATTTGACGCACACACACCAGATTATACCAAAAAATCCACCATTTACAAAAAAATTCACCACTTTTTTTCGTTTAAAATTCTTTTAGGCCATGTTTTTTATCGAAAAAAAACCGAATATACCGTTGTTCACGATTTTTCGTTCTTTTTCCATAGAGATCCATGATGATATATAAAAAACGAACTTTTTTTTTCGAAAAAAAACTCACTTCATTTTCTTTGATGAAAAAATTTAAGGTCTATTTTTTTATAGAAAAAAATTTAATAAATATATCAAAATTCATATTTTTTGTACTTTTTAAACATAGATTAATATTCAAGCTAAAAAAAAAAACTTTATTTCAGTTTAGATTCACATTGTGAACCTGTTCATATTCATATTGTAAACCTATTCAGATTCACATTATGAACCTCCTTAGATTCACAGTGTGCATAATAAGAAGTCAGATTCACAGTGTGAATCTGAACTGATCGGAGCTTTTTCACATTGTGAATGTTAAAATTTGAAATACTTACAGTTTAGATTCACAGTGTGAATCTACACTGATCGAGTTTTTTTTTTGAACCTTCTCAGATTCACAGTGTGTATAATAATAATTCAGATTCACAATGTGAATCTGAACTGTTCGAGATTTTTCATATTGTGAATGTTAAAAATTGAAATATTTACAGTTTAGATTCACAGTGTGAATCTGTACTGTTCGAGGGTTTTTTTTTTTTTAGTCGGTGTTGATGTTTATTAATAGAGTACAAAAAATTAATATTTTTGGTATAATTAGTTTTTTTTTATAAAAATAAACTTAAATATTGAAAAAAAACTAAGAAAATTAAGTGGGTTTTTTTTTTTGAAAAAAAAAGTTCGTTTTTTATATATCATCATAGATCTCTATGGAAAGAGGACGAAAAATCGTGAACAACGGTATATTCGGTTTTTTTTCGATAAACAACTTGGCCTAAAAAAAATTTTAAATGAAAAAAAGGAAGTGAGTTTTGTTATAATCCGGTACATGTGCGTCCATTATAAAAATTTACAACCCTTCCTTTTGTCGTTGATCGCTTTAAATTCTGACGCTTTGAATTGGTTCCTTGGTTCCTTGATTAATAATGGTTCTCAATTTAATTTTTCCATATATATATAATATATATATATATATATATATATCTATATATATATCTATATATATATATATATATATATATATATATCTATATATAGGGAGTGGTTCAAATGAGAACCAAAAAAGGTTAAGAACCCTAAGAACCTCTAACTTTAAAGGGTTTAGGGTTTAAGGTTAAGAACCCTAAACCCTAAACCCTTTATAAACACCCTAAATCCTAAACCCTAAACCCTTTATAAACATCTAAAATTAGAGGTTCTTACGGTTCTTAACCTTTTTTTTGTTATAATTTGAACCTTTACATATATATATATATATATTATATATATATATATATATATATATATATATATATATATATATCTATATATATATATAGTTAAAAACCAACATGTTGATTCCGTAGATTTTTTTTAACTCAAAACGCATAATTTTTTTCAAAAACTCATGGATAATATATACTATCAGCTTTTAAATCTGAAAAATTTGGGATAATGCACATTCACACCACAACGACCCACTTACCCCACTTCTTCCTTTCCGACTTGCGAGATGCTCGGGACTTTTGTTTTTGTTTCCAAGTTTTGGTATAAGCTTTTCTTTAGCAGAGTTTATGTTTATAGTTTTAAATATCAAACAATTATACCTAAGGTTATTCTTGTCATTTTGGTCATCTTATATAAATATTACTTACTTTAAAGGTTTATGACATACTTTAAAGGTATTATAATTAAATAATGTTTTGAAACCTTCAATGAAATTCTATAGTTCATTTTATATATTATCTCTTAACTTTTAGCAAACCAAATAGTATTGTAATAATTTTGAAAAGACATAAGTGGATTTTCTTTGAGTTTAATTAAATTATGTTTGTTAAAGATCTTGATATTATTTATGGCTTTATAATTTTAAGAATTTATAAAAAAAAAACAATCTAGATAATATTAAGACTGGTTATGAAGCAAGATATGGACTAAGATCTTAATATCTAGAGTAGAAACCTACATTTTATCAAAACTAATCCAACATTGTTTATCTTTAATTACCCTAGTCTTTGTTTTTTAAACCTTAAAAAATCCGTTATTTCTACTAAAAAACCCAATGTCAGTATAAAAAAAAAATGTCTTTTAAGTTTGAAATCGACCATAAAGTTTATCCGTTCACAACTTTATCAATAAGGTTTATAAAACATCACAACTCGAAATCAAACATTAAGATCATAATAAGGTTTGTAGAACATCACAACTACACATCAAACCCTATACCAAATTACCGACAGTTCTAAAAGAACACTTTTTTCTTTTTTCCACGGTGAGAAAACAGAGCGTTGACTGCTCAACCGAGTCTTTACTATTTCAATTGTTGATTTGATTAAGTTTTATATCCTTCCTCTGTCTCTACATATACGCTAGATAATCGATTTGGGTTATTCTCTTCTCTTGCGTTTCTGTAGGTTTTTACTAATAATTTGATTCTGCTCCTGATTTGTGGAATTGTGGCTACTGAAAGTCAATCCTAGTGATTCGTTTGGGGTAGTTGATATACGGGATTAGGTATTTTGGTAGAATTTTGAATTGAATATTATATTGTTGATCCGGACTCCAATCAATCTTACTGAACTTGGCTACTTTTTGAAGCTTCGTTGTATATTCCTTGGATTTAACTAAAAAAACTAGAGGTTCCTTCTCCGATATGGAACCTGCGGTGTCCGGACTCGTTGGTTCAGAGATTCATGGCTTCAAAACCATGGAAGGTGTGTGTTTGATTCTGAACTTTTCTAGTTTATGCATATCGTTTTTGTTTCTATACTGGATTGCATTTTTGACTCTGCTGGTGTTTGGATGTGCGTTTTGTGAGCGAATATGTGATCTTGTAATTGATTGCAAATTAGCAATCAAATGTGGATGATATCTAAATGTGCTTCTGCTCTTGAAACTGTAATAATCGTTTTTTCATGGTATTGACCGATCAAACAGACTCTGTGATTGCTAATTTTACTCTACTCTTTGATGATCAATTTTGTTGTAGCTATAATCAAACATATTATTTGAGCCCTAATAATACGATAATCATAAGCAGAAGTAGGTTGATAAGTTATCCAAACTCCAGAAATCGAGGTACCAATAATCAGAGCACTTTCAAAACGCACATCCAAACACTCCCTTTCTGTTGCTAAAATTGTTGTTTATGCTTATGTTTTAACTGAAGTTGAGGAAAAATGATATCTGAATTCATTTTTTACTTCCTACCGAGTCTGATTCTTAACTCCATTAACAGATTTGGATGTGCCCAACATGATGGAGGAAGCAAAGACAAGATGGCTTCGTCCAAATGAGATTCATGCAGTACTTTATAACCACAAGCATTTCAGCATCAGTGTTAAACCGGTTAATTTGCCTTCAAGTAATTATAAAAAGCCCATGATGCCTTCTCTAATATCACTCTTTACTACTGTTCTTATTATCTTATGTGTAATTGTTATTATTGTAATTTCGTTTGAGCTTTATAGCTTGGAAGATAATCTTTTTTCCTTTGCAATCTAATAGGTGGCACTATCGTCCTATTTGACCGGAAGATGCTCAGAAATTTCCGGAAAGATGGGCATAACTGGAAAAAGAAAAAAGATGGAAAAACTGTAAAAGAAGCTCATGAACACTTGAAGGTGAGTTTTAGTTTTTACTTTTTATACATGATTTTACCTTTTTATTTTGTGTGGAATAGTCAATAGAGCATTAGTTTCTTGCATATATTGTTCTTTCTTTATAAACTTTGTGATTATATACAATCTCTCATTGCTGTTGCTACAGGTTGGAAACAATGAAAGAATTCATGTCTATTATGCACATGGCGAAGACCGGTCAACCTTTGTTCGTAGATGTTACTGGCTTCTTGATAAGTATGCAATAATCCAAGATTTCATGGATATTTACAATACATATCTTCAAGATGTTCCTTCTCTCTCTCTCTCTCTATATATATATATATATATATATATATATATATATATATATATATATATTGATCATTGTTTAATTTCATTATGTTACAGGAAGCTGGAACATATTGTACTTGTTCATTATCGTGACACTCAAGAGGTTTGTTCACATAAAAAGTTATCAATTCTTGTAGATATGAGTATGACCACTATATGTGTTGAAAATTGCCTGAACATATGATGCAGTTGCAAGGGTCTCCAGGGTTGACTGTTGACTCCAATTCTAGCTCGGACCCACCTACTTCATCAAATCTTTCAGAAGAAATTGATGGGGTTGATCAGGTGTACTTTACTGGTGTGTAAGTTTATTAATGAACATCAAGAAAACTTTGATTAAAAGTCAAACACTTCTATTGAACAATAATAATGAAGGATAAATGTTATTTTTCTCTTTTTTGGGGATTCAACAGAGCCTAATGAGACAGCAATAAATCATGAGATGAGAATTCATGAAATCAATACCCTGGAATGGGATGAGCTTGTGATTCCAACTTCCGATAAGTTGAGTGGATCTGAAGGAGGTAGTGAATTTGGTTTATGTGTTGTTTATATCTGATTTAATGGACTTAATGCATACAGAACTTAACCTAAACGGATATATAGTGTTGTTTCTTTTTGACTTAATGTAAACAAATGGACTTAATGGGTTAAGTGAGAGGTTAGTGCTATTATCCATCAAGAACTCATTTTTTTACTTTGCTACCCTTTAACCAAACTCTCTCCTTTCTTTATTTCTTTTTAAAGTATATCTATCTAGGTATTAAAAGATTTAAATTTAATGTTGATGAAACTTATGTAGTATGAAATAAAGATGAAAAGTGAGAACAAAAAATAGTTATTCATTTATTAATTTTCATGATATCTGCAAGAAATTGACATTCAAATAGTACAAAAATATCATGCTATTGTAAAAAAATCAAAAAGATTTCATCTACCCATTTGATGTCATTCATACCAAAATGACACAAATATGAAAATTTATCATGTAATACACGAAAATCTCTATTATTTATACATGAAAGTACAATGTTATTGTAAATATATACTTTTTTTTGTATCGCGGTTGTCTACAATTATAATTAATAACTCAAATAAACAATCATTTATTATTCAACATCACTTCTAGACAGAAGGGTAAAATGATCATTTTCATATTCAACAGTTAATTTAGTCCAAAAAAGAAACAAAACTTTGTTCATACAACACTTTACCCATACAATACTTAATGAAGAACAAAAAACATCCTTCAGTTGTAATAGACATGAAAGGTTCTTGATGATAAAGGATTATATTTATATAATTATTTACATATGTGGATCTATTATTTTGCAGGAAATGTTGCACAACTTGATCAAACTAACCAATATATATCAAACGGATCATTTGACAATGTAAGTAGACAAAATGCTCAAATTGCAAATTTAGGCATTGATGTCTTAAACACAATGCACAAAGATGGATTACCAACACAAGAAAGTTTTGGAAGATGGATGAATTACATCATCACAGATTCTCCTGGATCAATAGATGATCCACTTCAACATCCATTATCACCTTTCAATGGTGATCACAATGAACTTAATTCCACTGATAAAATTTTCAACATAACTGATGTCTCCCCTTCATGGGCTCTAACAACTGAAGAAACAAAGGTACTTTTCTCTTAAACTTTCTAAATAATTAATGTCAAAGTAAAGGAAATAGCATAATGTATTATATTTGTGTTTCTTTTCTGCAGATTTTAGTGGTTGGAGATTTTAACAAAAAGTATATCCACCTAATGAACTCGAATATATTTTGTGTATGTGGGGATGTTTTTGTTCAATTAGAATTTGTTCAATCCGGAGTTTTCCGATGTATGATTCCTCCACAAAACCCCGGAATCGTGAATCTATTCCTGAGTTCTGATTGCCACAACCCCATCAGTCAGGTGATGGAATTCGAATTCCGTCCTCCTCCTCCTCCTCCCACCACTAATCTACCGACACCTGTCAACGAGAAGCCAGACTGGCAAGAACTCGAAATCAATATGAGACTAGCTCATTTGCTTTTCTCCACATCCAAGAGTCTAGAAATCTTATCGAGTAAAATACCACAGAAGACTTTGAAGGACGCGATAATATTCGCTCAAAAAACACGACATATTGTGAATAGTTGGGATTTTTTGGTGAAGGCAATTATGGAAAAAAGAGTACCTTTTGAACGAGCGAGAAATAGCTTAATGGAGCTCACATTGCAAAATAGATTACTTGAGTGGCTTTTGGAAAGAGTGTTGGAAGGTGGGAAGATTCCTGTTCGTGATGATGAAGGATTAGGAATTATTCATTTGTGTGCAATTTTGGATTATAATTGGGCGATTTACCCGTATTCGTGGTCTGGGTTATCCTTAGATTTTCGTGATAAATTTGGATGGACTGCTCTTCATTGGGCTGCACACCATGGGAGGTATGGTTCTTGTGTGTTATTCTATTCATATAAGGGTTTAATGTGAGAAATAGCAATGTACTTTTTTTGATTTGTTTATTGTACTTTGAAAAATCTACCCTGTTACAATGCTATAATTGGGTAGATTTTTCAAAGTAAAATGTCCTAATAAGAAAAAAGTTAAAGTAGAATGTTGTGATTGGGTAGAGCTTTCAAAGTATAATGTCATAATAAGAAAAAAAAAATCAAAATTACAATGCTATGATTTGATACATTTTTCAAAGTATTATTTCGTAATTAGAACAAATTGAAAGTACAATGCTATAATTGAGTATATTTCTTAAAGTGTAATTTCCTTAATAGAAAAAGAAAGTAGAATGCTACAATCGGATAGATTTTTCGAAGTTATAATGTTTTTATAAGAAAAAAGTGAAAGCACAATGCTATAATTGGAAGTGCAACGCTATATGTGGGTAGATTTTTCAAAGTACAATGCCTTAATAAGAAAAAAAAACGAAATTTCAATGCTTTAATGGAAAAAAATGAAAGTAAGATGATGTAGCAGTATAGCACACAAATAAATGAAAGTATGTTACTATTTGTTGAATTTATCCCTTTCATTCGTAAAATTTTCTGAACTTTTTTTTAATAATGTTTAGGCAAAGGATGGTGGCATCTCTTCTCTCGGCAGGGGCAAACCCTAATTTAGTAACTGACCCAACTTCAGAAAACCCGAGTGGATACACACCTGCTGACCTGGCATCCAAAAATGGGTACGAAGGATTAGCTGCATATCTAGCTGAAAAGGCACTCGTAGCACATTTTGAGGCCATGACATTAGCCGGAAACGTTAGCGGCTCACTACAAAGCACATTCCCAGCTAATGAACCTGTTGTCCCAGACACGTCATCAATCCACGTCAGCGAGGAGGAGCAGTATCTGAAAGACACCCTGGCGGCCTACCGAACAGCTGCGGATGCTGCCGCCCGTATACAGGCGGCATTTAGGGAGCAGTCGTTTAAACTCAAGACAAAAGAAGTGGAAGTTTCCAATCCGGAAGACGAAGCGCGGTGTATTATAGCCGCCATGAGGATCCAACACGCCTTCCGTAACCATGAATCGAAAAAACAAATGGCGGCTGCTGTACGGATACAGTATAGGTTCCGTACTTGGAAGATACGAAAAGATTTCTTAAATAAACGTCGTCAAGCCATAAGAATTCAAGTAAGTTTGACAGGTTATTGTAAGTGACAGAGTGGCTTTGCTGACACAATCTACTGAGATTGAGATTCAGTCCTGTGTTGCTCAGATTCGTTTCTTTTATCATGAGATTGGGGGAGTGTTGTTGTTTTGGTGACTAATGATGTGTTTATTGAATTTAGGCAATTTTTCGGGGTCATCAAGTGAGAAGACAGTACACGAAGATAGTGTGGTCGGTCGGAGTGCTTGAGAAAGCGATATTGCGTTGGCGATTGAAGCGAAAAGGGTTTCGGGGTCTTCAAGTGGATGCTGATAAAGATGAGAAGCAGGAGAATGTTGATGGGGAAGAAGGATTTTTCCATGCAAGTAGGAAGCAAGCTGAAGAGCGTGTTGAGAGATCGGTTGTTAGGGTTCAAGCCATGTTCAGATCAAAACTAGCTCAAGAAGAATACAGAAAAATGAAGCTACAACACATCCAAGCATCCGTATGTGTATTCTAGTGCTTAAATGCAAGAAATAACATACTTTCATTTATTTGACTTTTAAATATTTATTTTTTTGCAGATTGAGTATAATGAGAGCTTTGACCCTCCAACTGACATGGAGAAATAGAAGATGTTGGTGTTTGTGTTTTGACTGTTGTAAATGCATAAAGTATGAGGCAAGTTGTGTCTGCTCGTCTGTCTGTATTTTTATGAGAAAGAGGGCACGATGGTTTTGAGTTAATGGTTTGTGTTAATGGTTTGTGATATTAGAAAAAATGGGAATGGAAACGAGGAGTTGATGCTATTATAGTATTATTGTTTAGTAAAGTAATAATAAGGTGAATGAATGTTTGATGTAAACAAATAAAGTTATATGCTTTGACAAACATATAATTTCGCTCGTCATTAACCTATGGTAATAAATGGGCAAAATACAAGACATAAAATGTAGTTTTTAATTTTTTTTTTGGTTATGACAACATTGTACTTCCAAAATCATTCTTTGTTATATATGGGAATGGGTGATCTGCCACTTGCAATAATGAGTAATCCCATTATCATTATTATTATTATTATTATTATTATTATTATTATTATTTTAACATTGTAGAAAAACATGTTAATTTGTGTCATGTAATCATAATTCAAAACAAAAGTTTACTCGTTGCTATAATGGTAATATTTTAGAAATTCTCCCTAATAAATAAAGATTTTTTTATCACATGTTACATTCTCATTTATTTTGACACATTTAACTTTGTGGTTATTTTAAATGAACTTTTATTACACATATCATTTTCTGGTTTTTTTATTTTATTAAATTGTAGATACTATTTATATTCAATAATAAATGCATATCAATTTCACTAATGACTTCTAATTTCAAAATTACCAAATTAAAGAATTATTAATTTTTTTTATTTATTTATCTAAATTATTTGTTTAAATTTAAAAGAGAAAAAAAAAACACTTTAATTTTTATAACTTAATATTTTCTCACTTTTCTTATAAATTCATACTTTTCAAATGTTTAGAATTTTGTATTTAGTTTTTTTTTTAAATAAATTCATGTAATACATGAATCTCACACTTAAGAAAAACAATTAACAATGAGGGAAAAATGAATACCATGGTTCGAGTTGGAAGGGGTTTCTTGAAGTGGATCCTTAGCCGGACTGTTTGGAATGATTGGTGTAGTTCTTTGAAGGTTGTTGGTGAGGAAAAGTCTAACTTTTTGTTTTGTATTGCTCTTATGTGGTATAGTTGCCATTGTTTGTAGAAAATGGTTTAAACAATAGCTTTGGATAGGTTGGAAAATAGGGAGTGTCCTAGTTTGAGTTAGTTTGTAGTCTGTTGACTTTTGTATTTTTTATTCTTTATTTAGTTTTTGCCGAGGCTTCGGTCTTTTTTGGGAAAATAAATACCATGGTGCTATTTATTACCTCTTGCACCTGATAATTTTGAATCTATGCATGGTCAAACCATTCAAACCTACATTGGTTTAGTATAACTTGCTAATGAAATATTGAAATTATTGCTTAATAAAAAATGAAGTCGAATTACATTATATAATTTCCTAAAAACTAGTTTAAGAAACAATTCGGAAAAATGCTATCATATGAATTGCTGAACAAATATGTTACACGTAAAATATATATATATATATATAATATATATATATATATATATATATATATATATATATATATATATATATATATATATAGTTGATTTTTCAATTAAAGTATTATAAAATTATACTGTAAACTTTGGTATATTTCAGAACACGGTCACAAAATATTCAACAAATATTGGGCCGAGCTCGATCTATGAAGCCCATTCCGTAAGAAACGCAAATTAGGTTTTTTAAAAAGAGACGGCGATCCCATATCCTCGTTTCAGTCAAACCCTAATCTCTCAGGAGCTGCAGCTTAACAGGTTTTTCTCTCAACCTTTTCCATATTTACTAGCTTATTTCCAGTTTTCGGGGATCTGTATGTAAGCGGACTCCGTATTTTCCTAGTTATTTGTGTTTTGATTTGTTAATTCTTGGTGGAAACAGTGTGTCAGAGAGATGGCCAAGTCGAAGAATCACACCGCGCATAACCAGTCGCACAAGGCTCACAGGAACGGTATCAAGAAGCCAAGGAAGCACAGACACACTTCCACCAAAGGAGTAAGATTTTTAAGCTTTTCCCTTTGATTTTTGAGCTTGAATGAGTGGTCGATTAGTATTGCGATTGTTCTTCGTTAATAGGCCATGTAGATTTTTAAAAATGCGATGTGGTGCTTGTTCGATTACAATGTACGCTTTTAGCAAAATCGAAACTTGTCGTAGTATTTTCTACAAAAAAGGTTTTTGAAAATTATGAATCAAATCATGTACACTGTAATTCTGGAATTGGGATTTGATTGTTCATGGTTTTTGTGTCCTGTTAAAAACTTCTAAATGCCATTTATTGTGATATGGATACGGATGAATTTCATCATGTTTTAGTGAATTGGATGAAAACCTAAAAAAAAAATTTGTTTTTTGTTTTCTATTTGGAGAGTGAAGTAATGGTGTTTGATGATTATTTTGTTGAAACTATGTGTGTGATGCAGATGGATCCCAAGTTCTTGAGGAACCAGAGGTATGCAAGGAAGCACAACAAGGAGAGTGGTGAATCTGCTACTGAAGAATAGATGTTTTCGGGTTTTTGATTTATGATCTCTTTCTGTTTTGAATTTTGTTATCAATTAGAACTGCAATATCTCATGTGATTGTTGAATCTAGTTTCATTCTATGTGATGGTTGTCATTGTGTTTTGAGTATTCTATCAATGAAATCATTTCTTGAGTCCATTGCTTTCAAAGTTCCATGACAAAAACATATCTTGTGTGACTTTTAGAGGATGATTGTTTTCAAATAGGCATCATCTAAAATTGAGATCCATCACATTTAACTACTCAGATACTGTGTTAATGTATCACATTATTCATAGTAGTAATTTAAGTTGATGTTTTTTGCAAGTCTTTTGTTATGTTATAATTTCGGATGTTTTAGAAAGTTTTTTTGTTATGATCAAGTAATTTTTTTGGAAAATCTTGTTATCATTAGTAACGATACAAAAATGGATTCTCACTTACCTTTTTTGTGTAATTTAGCTTAACTCAACAACCCAAATATCCGAAGTGTGTCTATTGTTGGAATCCCACTAATTTAACTTTAACCATTTTTATTGAAAAAGTGTATAAAAATGAAAAACTATAAAATTTACTAGTTGGAAGCTTATTTAGTGATTTTTCAAAGGTAAATATCATTTTAACCAAACGTACTTAACACATTTGTTTTAAAAGGTCATTTATTTACATATTATTTTTGCACATCAAAGGAATGAAGTTGAATGTGACCGGTTGAAATGGTTATTTAACCCCTTATAAGAGGTTTCAATGCTAAGTCCTACAAAAAATTGTGAGGTGGATGTCTAGTCATTATTGTTTGGTTTTTCTTAATTATTTTTAGTTGTTATTATTTATATGTCATTGTTATGATAATAATATAAATTAAAACAAATTATAAAAAAAGGAAAACTTAAAGCTAATCATAGGCAACTCATCTCATATTATCCCTACAGACCACACCACATCACCATCTTCGGTCACTGAAATTAAAAGATCCTAACTCCATCTGCCCCTCCAATTCCAATCTGCCCTTCAACTTACTGGACCTGTATTATGTTCTTGCCACCATTAACGCCTACAAGATCCCTACCTCACACCCCTGTGAGCCAATGTCGATCTTGGGAAAACACTCAAGACACGATGTGTTGATTAATCCTTACCATTCAGAAGATGATCTAAAGAAACCAAAGAACTCGGTTTTGAATCAGATGACGCTTAAAATTGAAGATCCCGATGAAGCCAGTCACTACAACGTCGTCTTACAAATTCGATTTCTTCTCTATTTTTTTCGTTTTTGATCGATAGGGTTTTACAAATTCGATTACTTCTCCATTTTTTTCGATTTTGATCGTTTGGGGTTTTTCATCTTCATCAGATGGTGGCACTTTTGATCTGGGTTTTTTTGGGAAAATAGGATGGTGGGGCTTTTTGTGTTCTTGGTGTATCAAATCTAGATTTTTTTTGCTAGCTATGGGTTTTTCTAGTTTAATCTTTGTTTTTAATGGATTATCTTTGGGTTTAGTTTTGCTGGTAAAGGATATTTTCTGTGTAAATTTTTATCTGAAGAAGATGAAAGGGAAATCATGATGGTGGTTGTAGACGGTGATATAAGGTGGCAGTCGATGGTTTAAGGTGATAATGTTTGAATGTTCTACAAACAATATGAATAATACTGGGTTTCATAATGAACATGACCAAAGAAAATTTCAAGAACAAAATAATAATAATAAACCAGGTGGATGTTGACATGACAGTCAAACCCTGCGTGGCATGTATAACGGGGAAATGTAAGTTTATTCCTTTAATGTGAAAAAAATAGTTTAGTGACATTTTAAAACAAACACAATAAGTTTGATAGGTTAATGTGACATTTGCCCTTTTTCAAATTGGAAAGGCTATGAAAAACTTTATTTTGAATATATGATTGGCACCATAAGTTATGGGCTTATAGCTTGAATGGTGATGTAAAATGTGACCTTTTAATGTGTATGAATGGTCTTGATGGTTGTATTTGTATGTTTATGGTTACTTGTAGTTTTTAAACATGGAAAATAACTTATCAAGGTAATCACATTTTCGTTTGGTTCATACTTAAACATTTTTTTGTACATATTTTATCATTTAACTTGTTAAATTTGTTTACATATTACCATTATCGCCGACTATATAACATGTGAACACATTTAACAAGTTAAATGGTCAAATGTGTATAAAAACAGAAATTGCCTAAGGTCTAGTTTGATAGTTGTTGTTTGGAAAAGTGTTGTCTGGGAAAGTTTCTGACTAGGAAAGAAACCATGTTGTTTGATTGTACATCTGACTGACTGTGTTGAATGATAAAAAATGACCATATTACCCTGTTGTTATATCCTATACTGGATAAAATTGTTAAGTAATTATAAAAACATACAAATTGTCATACAAAATCAAAATCACACAATAATCATTTAAAAATCCAAATACAATTTTTCATACAAAGTAATTAAACATAAATCACTTAAAATCCAAATAGAATATCGATTATGTTGTTTTTAGTTTATTGTTTTTTAAGATATGTTACTTTGTTATTCTTTATACTCATTTTAGTTTTTTTTAATAACCAACGGGTTATTCTTGACCCGGTTTATGTCCGATAGTGGTGGGAATGATGACTTTTTTTTTAAATAAATCAGGATGGTGGTGGTGTTGTCAAAAAAAATTAATCCAATAAAAATGAATTAAAAAATTAACTAAAAGAAATTAATATTCCAAATATTTATTAATATAAAAATTATATAATATAAATAATATTTATTAATATATAATAATTCAGTAAAAAAGTAATAATACAGAAAAAAGTTATTTAAAAAAAATAATAATCAAACAAAGAAAGAGAGGAGGTTTAGGACACAATTGTCTTTCCGACCTATTCAACCAAAAAAAATATGATTTTGTGGTTTTGTGGGAAAAACATATCTTATCGGGAAAAACTTTTTTTTTTGTGCAAAATCAAATAGTTTTTCCGGTCCATTCAGCCAAAACGACCTGTTTGAACCTAAAAAGATGTCTATCAAACAAGAACTAAATATGAACAAAACGAAAAGATGGTTACCATTGTAAGCCACACTCTTAATACAAATTTTATTTTTCATATTTGTTTGTATTATTTTTTCAAGTGTTATTTTTTAAGCATCCATAATAATTGATTATTTATCTTATTTATAGCATTTTGATTTAACAAATCAATTTTCTACTAATTTATATTTAGCAAAACTTACTATCATAAATAGTAATTAATCATTGATCAATTATAAAATTGTCTATTTAATTAAGAAATATATTTTTATTTTTGTGAAATATTTTATATAGCCTCTTATATATATATATATATATATATATATATATATATATATATATATATATATATATATATATTATTTTAAGCATGTGTAATATTTTTAAAGTAAATAGTATCTAACAATAAAATTAAATAAATTAAATATGTAACAATAAGTATGTAAGGTCTTTAAAATAATATTAGCAAATAGAAAAAATTATAATGTAAATGTTTTAAAATTATTACAACTTTTTTATACTTTTTAGTTAGAAGTTTATTAAAATTTTAATTTTTTTTAATACAACGTTCTAAACTTTCATTTAACAAAGTATTTTAAAATGTTATAAAAAAAGTATTAAATTGTTAAACAAAATCATTGAATCGTTTTAAAAATGTTGTAAAAGAAAATTTAGAAAGAGTTGTATAAAAGTTATAAAACAATTGTATGAAAATATAAAAAAAATAAATAAAATTTGTAAAAACATTTAGAAAATACTTTGTTTAAAAGTATTTGTATGAAAATTATATAAAAGTATAAAAAAAAATTAAAAAAATTATAAGCGAAATCGAGAACATTGTATTAGAAAAACCTATAAGAAAAAAATTATCTTAAAAATGTTGTAATAAATTAGAAAAACCTATAAGAAAATGTTACAAGCGAAATTGAAAACATTATATTAGAAAAAACCTATAAGAAAAAAGTTATCTTAAAAATGTTGTAATAAATTCTAAAAAGTTTTAAGAAATTTGTAAAAAAAAAATTGCTCACATTTAGGCCCAGTTTGATAGCTGATGACTGAGAAAGTGCTGACTAGATGGTTTCAAAAAGTATAAAAAAGTTGTAATAATTTTTTTTAGAGAAGTTTAAAAGGAATCAATTTCATGAACCAATAGCAATCATTTTAAAAAACCAGACCATTTAGAACAGAAAGGGTACAGAGAAATATATGTGAATAAAATTAATTCATGAATCGATTTCAGAACAAAAAGGAGAACCTACGATTGAAGGAGATGGTTTCATGAATCAGTTTCATGAATCAATTTAAAAAACGGTTTTCATGAACGAGATGGTTTCATGAATCGGTTTCACGAATTCATGGATCAATTTCAAAAACGATTTCATGAAATTGGTTTTATGACTCGATTAAAGAAGAAGAATGGAGGCGTTGGAAGAGGAGAAGACGTACCTGATGAGAAGAGGAGAAGGAGTCGATCGGTGGGGGGAGGGAGTCGTAGAGGCGTGAAAGAGGAACGCAAGAAAGGGAATAATTGGTAACACTTCCTCCTTTCTCAGTGAGTCATTGGTTTTCTTCTTACAGAGCCAGAGCTTTCTTTCCGAGTCAGATGACCAAAATTGATTTATCAAACAGATTTAGCTGACCAAGTCAGCAAAAAATGTATGACCCGACTCGGTTAGACGCATATCAAACATGACCTTAGGCAAATTTTTTTGTACACATTTGACCATTTAACAAGTTAAATGGTCAAATGTATACAAAAAAAATATTACCTAAACGTGAATAAAACGAAAAGGTAATTACCATGACAACTCATTTTTCTTTTTAAATTCGATTTTTTTTGCTTATTGAATGTAATTGTAATGCACTAAAGCAATGGTTTTTCTTTAGTTGGTGTAATATAGCAAAAAAGACAAGACGTAAAATATCCAATATAGTGGAAGTCGAAATGTGCGCTCTAGTCAAGATGACGACTCGAAAAATGCACCATAGAGATGTTTGTTCCTTCGAATTAACATAATGGTCATGTTATTGTGTATATACTTTATGTGTGGTTTATATTTCAATAGTAAAACTCTTAGTTAATGTTGAAACAATACCTATTAAGCATGCAATGTAATGAAGATTCCAATAGTAAAACTCTCAGTTGATGTTGAAACAATACATA